TGTCTATGAACAATAGACTAGACAATAAATTAGATATTATTAATGTGGGAGAAAAAAAAACAAGACTGCATTGTATGCTCGAATAGAAAAACACCAGGTAGAAGATATCAAACAAATTACTATTGCACAACATGTATCAGTGAACCTACGATGCATGTCGGTGACTATTTTACACATTACCACACGTTAGAAAAATATGACATAAAATTTTAATTTTTTTGTCATAAATAAGTTTTCTGTAATGTCCAAAATTCCATTACAAGACAAATACAGCTGGGTGCGGTGGCTCATGCCTATAATCCCAGAACTTGAGAGGCCGAGGTAAAAGGATTGCCTGAGCCTGCGGGTTTGAGACCAGCCCGGGCAACTTGGTGAGACCTCATCTCTACAATAAATAAAAAATTAGCTGAGCGTGGTGGCACATGCCTATAGTTCCAGGTACTTGAAAGGCTGAGGTGAAGGATTTCCTGAGCCCAGCAGGTTGAGGCTGCAGTGGTCATGAGCATGCTATAGTGCTCCAGTCTGGGCAACAGTGAGACTCCAACTCAAAAAAAAAAAAAGATAGCCAGGCTCGGTGGTTCAGCCTGTAATCCCAGCATTTTAGGAGGCCCAGGTGAGTGGATTGCCTGGGCCCACGGGTTCGAGACCTGCCTGGGCAACTTGGTGAGACCTCATCTCTACAATAAATAAATTAGCCGGGCGTGGTAGTGCGCGCCTGTAGTTCCAGCTACTTGGAAGGCTGAAGCGGAAGGATCGCCGGAGCCCAGCAGGTTGAGGCTGCGGTGGCCAGGAGCATGCCACTGCACTCCAGTGTGGGCGACAGAGTGAGACTCCAACTCAAAAAAAAGACACATGTAATTACAATAAAATAATTGGTTTCAATGCTATACTATTTAATATGAAGTGATTTGTTTTTCATGACTTCATAAAAAAAATATGGTCAAGTTGCTGGTAGGTGATCTGTGAGATGTCTCCCAGTACAAAGGGTTAATATCACCAATTTACCTTAGGGCATTTTCCATACTATTGTTTTTAGCCTTATTTAGTCATTCTGATCCCTTTATGAAGGGGATAGGGTACTGGAATATTATTATTTAATTTTTTAAAGTAAAAAAAATTGCCGGGTGCAGTGGTTCAAGCTTGTAATCCCAACACTTTGGGAGGTTGAAGCAAGAGGACTGCCTGAGTCCTGGGGTTCAAGACCAGCCTGGGTAACTTGACGAGACCTCATCTCTACGATAAATCAAAAAATTAGCTGGGCATGGTGGTGCTCGCCTGTAGTTCCAGTTACCTAGAAGGCTGAGGTGGAAGGATCACCTGAGCCCAGCAGGTCGAGGCTGTGGTGGTCATGAGTGTGCCACTACACTCCAGCCTGGGTGACAGAGTGAGACTCCAACTCAAAAAAAAGAAAAAATCAATGTTTTGCTTTCCCAGCTAGACTTTAAGTGCCTTGGATCAGGGACTGTGTCATTAGCTTTTGCTGTAGGCATATAAGCACGTAATAAAAATTCATAAATATCTGCCAACTTGCTGAAAAGATGTAGTATCTGAGCTATTATTTGTTAAACTCTGGTATGTCCACGTGGCTCTTTGAGCTCTGGCTCCCTCCTCTACTTTGGGGAGGTGAATCTCTCCCTCTCTAATTTACTTTCTAAATAAATTATATTTTCCCCTGCCTGTGCAACTTGGCAAGACCTTGTCTCTACAATAAATAAAAAAATTAGCCAGCTGTGGTGGTGTGCGCCTGTGGTTCCAGTTACTTGGAAGGCTGAGGCAGAAGGAACATCTGAGCCCACTAAGCTGAGGCTGTGGTAGTCATGAGTGTGCCACTGCACTGCAGTCTGGGTAACAGAGTGAGACTCCGACTCAAAAAAAACCAACAACAACCAAAAAAACCCCTACGTTTTCTAATCTAAAAAAAAAAAAGATGAAGTATCTGACCTCAAGTAGTTTATAGCAGAGATAAGGAAACAGGGCACTTAGCTGTCTACAAAGAAAGAAACAAACAGTGAAAACTCTGCCCAAAAGTTTGAATGCAAAACAGATAAGAGGTATTGTGTATCAGGAAAGGGAATCAATATTGTGTATGCCAGGTGCTTTACATTGGTTGTTTCATTCTATCCTTACAAAAACTACATGAGGGTGGCTAGGGAAAACAAATCAAAAACAAGAACCCAGCCGGGCTCACCTGTAATCCCGTGCTTTGGGAGGCTGAGGTGAGTGGACTGCCTGAGCCCACGGGTTTGTGACCCGCCTGGGCAACTTGGCGAGACCTCATCTCTACAATTAAAAAAAAAAAAATAGCCG